ATGTGACAGGAGGCAGCGTTGTCCGGCCTCGAGCTCTAGGAATTGTCCAAGATGACAAAGCAGGCTCTGCCCATTGGCAGCTCAAGGAATGCATATCAACAACAAAAATAAACATCAAAGCAGAAACAAGTAAACTGACCCAGACATATTAGATGAAGAATTATGAAATTTTCTAACCAGTTTTGGCAGGCAGGAATTTTCAGCATCATAACCTAAATTTATATGCTGTCTTTAATTCATATTTGAAAACCTAAAATAGCCACAAAAGAGTTTTCAACTCTTACAGCTTCACAAAGTTTGCATGCAATGCAACGCTCTTCTCCCGTAGGATATCGCCGCAGGGCATGTTCACCACGAAAACGAGGACTCAAAGGGCCCTTCTCAAATGGATAATTGATCTGCAAAACAAAAGATAGATTTCATAGTTCACCATGGAAAAATGAAAAGTGAACTTGGCAATGTGTATCGGAAGATGCTTACAGTAACTTTTTTCTCAAAAAAGTACTTAAGCGTCAGCATCAGACCTCGAACCATTTCAGTGAGGAACAATGTGTTTATGCTTCGCTCAAAGACTGCAGTAATTAAAAATTTCGGGCTATTATTTCGCATAGCCTAAAATAATGTAATAACACCAAATTAAGAACAAAAATGGTTTCCTTTTTCTTTCTTTTTTTCCCTTTTTTCTTGAGGGGAGGGGGATTACCAGAACTCCAGTCCTTCGAAATCTCCTTTGCGAGTTGCTCTCTTTCCTCATCCTCTGCAGTTGGCATAAACAAAGAAGTACAAAAAAAATTATTCTAAAAGATAATATCACACCATGATGAAGCACCGTAAAGGCCAAATAACATGATATTGAAGATATCGATATAATTTTATCTTAAACTATCATTATTACAACACCCATGACCCTGCAGAAGAGCAAACCTTTTATAGTGGAGAAGTAGTGTGAACTGGAACGCGGTCCATAGTAGTAAGAACCCTGCAAAGCTTGCCCTGGTACAGCCTAAACACAAACCCAAAAAATAGACCAGTAAAACGTCCAATAGCTAAAAAAGAATACGAGACAGGTATTTATACATAAACCCAAAGTTTTAAGAAAGCTCTCCCTATAATTATACTGAAATTAAAAAAATATGAAACATGCAACCACCACATGTGAGGGCATTCAAATGTAGTTTTGTTTGGTTTGCAATCAAGTCCAAATCGTAAACTCCGTCAACGTGGCAACATGCAACCACCACATGTAAGGGAATTCTTAGTCTCTCCAAAAAGTTTGTAATCAGGACCATGTAAGCATGCTGTCTAATTTTGTAGGACTTAATTGCTAAGTAAATACAACTACAGGAGTAAATTGCCAATTAAAATGACAAATCAAAGTGAAAAAAAAGGTCAAACTACAAGGACCAAAATTAAACTATTCAAAAAATCTGAGAACCTATTGACAATGTTTTTTTTGTGTGGTTTTCTTCTTCTTTTTTCATTAAAGAAAGAGAGGGAAGATAGAAGAAAAAGATAATAGAGATGAAATAACTTAAGGAGACAAGAGAAATAAAACTCAGAATTGATTTTACAATAAAAGCTCAAAAACAGTTTTATATGGTTTTTTTAGGTTTTGGGGAATTTAGTTTTAATGTTATATATTATATCCCCTTTATTTCCTAACCACTCTCATCTCTCTTTCTTTTATCATCCCCAGCTCCCCTCTTTCTCTTTGATTAAAAAGAAACACCGGAAAACAGAAACATTGTCTTCAAACTGACCCTACATTAATCTGAATCGTACGTTACAGTGATTATTTTTAAACAACCTGTTGATGAATGTGATCTCCTACACTATTTATTGAGTAGTTAAGTCCAATCTTTGATCTATCAAAATTTGGTGACAATGCACAATAATCAGTTCATTTATTGGAATTAGCAGAAAACTTCTATATTGAAGAACCAAATTCAAATAGATAACTAGTATTTTCAATCAAATTTAATTCAAGTTACCAGTCAACTACACCTCAAATTGTAGTATACTTTGATCATGCCAAAGGACTCCCAAACACTATGAATGTGTTTGATTTGCATAATAGATGCTGAGCAATGAGGTTATTCTATGTTTGGTAAGTACAAATCATTTAGTGTCGGTTTTCCCATAGATATCCAAAACCCACAAAATGAAAGTTTTGTTAACCCAAGGGACGAGGTGGGCTTTCTAACCCCAATCTCTGCTTTTGCCATTCAAAAAATCAAAATGAAAACGATTACCTTATGCAATTGGTTCTAAACAGTAAAATTTCATTGGTGTCTTAATCACTTTCATTCCAACATTTCCAAACACTGAAATGAAAATCATTAAATTCCACTGATTCCTAAAAATCTCATTCCAATGAATAGATTCTTAAAACCCCATTCCATGAAACAAACACACCCTAAATCTGAGCAACCCAGAATTCTTTTAAGCTCCTTTGATTAGCACCACAATTGCCCTAATTCTCAGAACAAATGACATTGCAAGGCATAATAAATTCTTCGGTTTTGTGTGTCCGTTCCAATACCCGTCATAATATCCGATATTAAATATTAGTTCTGGTGCACCACATGCCTTGTTCATGGGTCATCCACAAACAATGAAATACCCAGGTAGCCCTATAAATTTCACTTGGACATGTATTAAAAAAATGAAAAAATAGAACCTAAAAAAAGGTAATCCACCTCCCTTGTGCAAAAATTAGGTTACCAAAAACCACGCTAAAGGTCGCAAGACATAGCAGATTCAGAAAGCAAGAATTGGTCTATAACCACAATAATATCCAATAAACAAAATCGCAAAGAAATTAGCTTCCAACCCTTTTCCAACTCTATTCAGTATTGAAATTTAAAACAGCAGCAGCTCTATAGGATTGAAAAAAAAAATCAATACAATTATATATCAGTAGTGGAGCTAAAGTATGAAAATCGGATTTTCAATCGAAAAATTTAAGAACAAATAAAACAAATGGCTCAGTTCAGCTCAAAGAAATCAAGTCTCAGTACAATGCTCCTGATCCAAGAAATTTGGAAGGAGTAAAAGAGTTGGAAAATTTGCCTTTCATAGGTATTCAAAAGTGAACATTAAGATTGAAGCTTTTTTTTTTTTTTTTGGTTTGCTTTGCCCATTTTCTCAGAAACCAAACGGAGAACGATAAAAGAGCAGTTAGGGCAGAGGATAAACTTACGAGCTGCCTGGCGCGGAGAGCCTGAAGGGACTTGCGAGCTAAGATCGCAGCCATTGCTGATGATGGCTGAGTCGGATGGGTCTCCTATGTGACTCGGGTTTCGATTTGGAAACGTTGGGAACGAAACGAGCACAGGCTTAACGCCAATAAAATGGAAATGGGAATTGATGTCCGGGGCTTAGTTCAGATTGATTCGTCGCTTGCCACCAGTCGGTTGTGACCATGTAAACGGTGCGTTTTGATATGGAATGGCCCAGGAGATGCGCGTTTATTGGGGGTTTTTTTTTTTCTTTTTTTCTTTCCACAATGGCCTTTGAACTATAATATCATGTTATTAGAAATGATTCCAATTCTTTATTTTAATAATCCAAGGGTTGAGAAAAAATTATTTTAAAATATCAATTTTTTTTTTTACTTTTTAAATTTAACTTAACAAAAAAAAAGAAGGTAAAAATTAAAAATCCACAAATCTAATGTGTTCTTCTTCCTCCCATGGCTGCCCCATGTTCTGCTCAATCTCAGGTTCTTGCAACTATGCTAATTTGTTACTAATTAACATGTGAAAATCTAATTTTTATTTATTTCTTCCATTCAAGTTTTTCTTTTGTTTATTACATATGTTTATACTAATTTTCTTATTATACATTCAGTGCAGGAGTGATGGCAAATGCATTAGATGAATGAATGGGTTCAATTTTATGATGGAAAATTGCAAAGCAAAGTTAACAATAGTTTATGATGGGTTCAATTTTGTAGTTAAGACTTTCATTCAGGAACATACTCATCCACTTGCAACACCATTAAGAGTACACTCGTTAAGATCTCATCGTGGTGTATCAGATACAAAAATGAAGTTGGTTAAAAAGTTTTCCAATGTGAACATTCCATTATACCAACAATTCGAACTCTTGGAGACACAAGCTGGTGGACATGAAAGGATTGGGTTCATAGTACATTTGTGCTATTTTTGCAATGTATTCCACATTCATGTGGAAAAATATCTGTTACCAAAATCAAATAAGAACAGTACAAGACTGTAGAATCTTCACCTATAAACGTAGTATTCTTATGTACAAACAATAATGAACAAACTCCGAAACTATAGAAATGTAATACAGCAAAGGCAGTATAAAGGAATGACATGTGAACCAACAAAGCCTTTCTCCATGCTTCTGATTTATCAATTGATGGTAAAGGTGTGCATAACAGCAAAACTGAACACATTTGCACTTAACACCAGCTTCGGCAGCTCAGCTAGGCTTGCTTTTGCGCCTACTCCCATTTTGTCAGAATCCAACGGAATCTGTAGAGTTTCCTTGAAGGTAAACTTGATTTTCGTTCAAAGTTTTTATCCTAAATGCTAAATGCTAAATCCTGTTTTAAACAAACAAATCCACATACAATGTCAAAAATAGTAAGCCAAAAGAGAAAAAAAGACCCAAAGTGTATATGTGAACAGAAAACATACGCTTGATGCCAACCATTTTCCTTGAAGGTAAAGTTGAGAGATCCATATCTAGGCTTCAAGTAGCTCTCTTGCTTATACTTGTATTTTCCTGAACAATAAAAAAAATACAAGATTAAGTTCTTCAGCTACTTTGTTTGCCTCTTCAAGTTGGCTTTACACTAGAAGTCCCCATCTGTATTTTGCTTCAAAGCTTTCATGTACAACCTCTACAGCCTCTACCTAATGTTGACAACACCAACTCCATCTAACATAAACAAACTGATGGTTTATTTTATATTTTGGGCACATCCATATAAAACCATTAGAACCTGACTTGCTACCGTGTCTCATCCCTACAAACTTGCCATTGTATAACAATTCAGTCACGAAAAATGGTAAGAACCAAAAGTTTCTGCTGGGGTTCTTCTGCACTTCTCTTCTTATGCTTAGTTGGGTTCTTTTCCACTCCGGCAAAAGCAGCTTTGAAGACATACCGATTCGATGTGAGCATTTCAAAATGGCAGACTTAAATTGCATGCATTTTATATCTGGTTATTATTTATCTGTTCCAAAAATTATTTTCAGGTTCAAGTGAAGAATGTGAGCAGGTTGTGCCATTCTAAGCCAATTGTTACAGTAAATGGGATGTTCCCTGGACCTACAGTTTATGCTAGAGAAGGAGATACACTTCTTGTCAATGTTACCAACCATGCACAATACAATATGTCAATTCATTGGTAGGAAATTTATATTTGAATTCATATGATTATGCAAGCATAAAACTAAAATGAACATTTGGGTTTATTAATGTCATATTTTGATTGAATTCTGCAGGCATGGATTAAAGCAATATAGAAATGGGTGGGCAGATGGGCCTGCCTATATCACCCAATGTCCTATCAAGACAGGACATAGTTACACCTACAATATCACTATAACAGGGCAAAGGGGAACTCTATGGTGGCATGCACATATTTTCTGGCTAAGAGCCACTGTGTATGGAGCAATTGTCATCTTGCCAAAACAAGGGACTGGTTTTCCATTTCTTCAGCCATACAAGGAGGCTAATATTGTCTTAGGTGAGTTGGTGCAACTATAAGATTTGTAACTGTATACAGAATTTTTTAATACTTTATGCAGAAAATGATTGTATTGTTTCTTGTGAATGGTGTAGGAGAATGGTGGAATAACGACGTCGAAGAGGTTGTTAAACAAGGAAACAAACTGGGATTGCCACCAAATATGTCAGATGCACACACCATCAATGGGAAGCCAGGGCCTCTCTTTCCCTGTTCTGAAAAACGTAAACCACCGCCTTCTGTAGAAAAGTTCTTGCCTACAATGAGCTTATACAATGCACATGGTGATGTGCAACTAGTTATTATGAGAGCTACGTTGTATACACTCATTGTATGCCAGAACTTTTCCCATCTATGACACTAGATGTTCTGAGACCACTTTTGTTTTATGGGACTGCCATTTTGACATGAAAAATGAGACTTTGCATTCTCATCCTTTCTTGTTTTTGCTATCTCAGATACCTATGCATTGGAGGTTGAACAGGGAAAGACGTACCTGCTACGAATCATCAATGCTGCACTCAATGATGAGCTATTCTTTGCCATTGCTGGTCACAACTTGACAGTGGTAGAAATTGATGCAGTATACACCAAACCATTCACATCTCAAGCAATACTAATAGCACCAGGCCAGACCACAAATGTTCTCGTTCAAGCCAACCAAGTGCCTGGAAGATATTTCATGGCGGCTAGGCCATTCATGGACGCACCGGTTTCCATTGACAACAAAACTGCCACTGGAATCCTGCAGTACAAAGGCATCCCAAATACTGTGCAGCCAGTTCTTCCCCAACTTCCGGCACTCAATAACACAGCTTTCGCATTGAGCTTCAATGCCAAGCTAAGAAGTCTAAACACAGCACAGTTCCCGGCCAGTGTACCTCTTAAAGTTGATCGACATCTCTTTTACACGATCGGGTTGGGAATCAACCAATGCACCACTTGCCACAATGGAACACAGCTCACTGCTTCTTTAAACAATATCACATTTGTGATGCCCCAAATTGGACTGCTTCAAGCTCATTATTTCAACACCAAGGGAGTATTTACCACAGATTTCCCAGACCGCCCTCCAACACCTTTCAATTACACTGGTGCACCACTCACTGCCAACCTTGGCACTAAACTAGGCACCCGGCTTAGCAAACTTGCCTTCAATTCAACAGTTGAGTTGGTGCTACAAGACACCAATCTTCTCACAGTGGAGTCTCATCCCTTCCACCTTCATGGTTACAATTTCTTTGTTGTTGGGACCGGAGTTGGGAACTTCGACCCCAAAAAGGACCCGGCAAAGTATAACTTGGTGGATCCTCCCGAAAGAAACACAATTGGAGTTCCTACCGGTGGTTGGGTTGCCTTAAGGTTCAGGGCTGATAATCCAGGTAAACACATCAAACTAACCAAATAGCATGCTACATTATACTTCAAAGTTACTAATTAAGCAAGAATAATATCTCTTATTTTTTTAGATATTTCACTAATATTTTGAACGGTATTTGATCATCTTTAGGTGTCTGGTTCATGCACTGTCATTTGGAGCTCCATACCAGCTGGGGTTTGAAGACTGCATTCGTGGTGGAAAATGGGAAAGACTCAGATCACTCTGTCTTGCCTCCACCTACAGACCTTCCACCTTGTTAGTTCCTCGAACCGCAGTGGAGTACTTCTTGAGGAACACAAACCATTGTTTGTTTTGATCCTTTTGGCTGATAATTGCTTGCAAACAATCCTGCAAAATGCAGTAGTTGTGCATGCAAAATTCTTGTTTAAGACCCAATAAAACGGTGTAATGTGTATCAGATTCTTTTAAATGCTAATTGAAACCCTGTTTCATGCAACAAATTTCTGGGATGACATTGGCCCCAAGTTTTTAGGTCCAATCTATATGGCAAGGATGGTCTTTGTCGCCTTTCCTCTTTGCGCCCAAGTTTATCAATTTACCCTTCATTTTCTGTTTGAACAGTAACCTGAAAACACAAGTGCAATGCTTGATTCCATATGTTTTTGATGATTTATGTGTTAATGAGAACAAATATTCTACAGAAGCTATGCCATCTGCTCCAACAAAATGTGTATATATATATATAATATTTAAATAGTATCGCCGCGCGGCTAAACTTTGTTAATATATTCGAATATTTTAATAGTATAGCCGATCGGCTATACATTGTTCAAATATTCTAAAATTTTAATAGTATAGCCGCGTGGCTATACTGTTTAAATATTCGAATATATTTTAAACAGTATAGCCGCATTATAGCCGGCCGACTATACTATTAAAATATTTTAAATAGTATAGCCGCTCGGCTATAATGCATTAATATATTAGAAAATTTTTATAGTATAGCCGATCGGCTATACATTGTTTATGTATTCTAAAATTTTAATAGTATAGCCACCCGGCTATACGGTTTAAAATATATTCGAATATTTAAAAGGTGTAGCCGCGGGGCTATACTATTTAAAATTCCTTCTTATTGGAGGAATTTCTGAATAAATATATATAAGAAATCCTTAAATAGTGCGGGATTTCTCAATGATATATATAAGAAATCCATATGTCTCAAATTTCAGTCACCTATTCGACAGATTGAGTCCCGCCCAAACCCAACCCTAAAACTCCCCCAACCTTCGATTTCGAGATATCATATAAAAGTGGTGATGGCGGCCCAGCGTAAGAACCCGCAGATTGAGAATGTTGTGATGATGCTTCCCTCGGGCATTCGCTGCACCGCTTGTAGCACTGTCGTGGCCAAAGGCACCAAGTTGAATTCCCGCAAAGAAGAAGCCCTCGGCGAGGTACTTACTTGGCTTATTATTCTTCTTTAATCTTAATCTTGTTCGTGCTTTGAAGCTTTAATTGGCCAGTTCATCTCTCGTTTTGCTCTCTCTTAATTCTAGTTCTAGGGTTTGTTTATTTTTGTTGATGGTGGATGCTCTCTCTCGCTCTAGGTTTTGAGAGCTTTGGTGTTTTCTAATTCGTCAGGTTTAAATTTCATGTTGCATCATTATTTGCAGGAGTTTTGGGAGGTTTGGAAGGATCATACATTCAGATTTTGCTTCAATTGTACCCAATACTCCGCTGAGATCGTCATAAGGACAGACCCACAATATTCACACCTTGCTGTTGAGGCTGGTGCTTCGAAATTTTATCGTTATATCCCTTGGCTTCCCCCTATGGTTGAGGAGGTAAAAGAAAGGAACTAAAGATTCTGCCTACATACATACAGCTATATACATATATATATGCATGCATGCTTCATAGCTTTCTGTTTTTATATTGCCTTTTACTGTTATCACAATTACTCAATCCAAACTTGCTTTGCAGAAAGAGAAGTTGGTTCCTTACACCAAACTGGCAAGAGAAAAGAGAGGAGGTCTTAGTTAACAGGGTATATGCCTCTGTACTTGTTATCAGGTTTTCAGATTCCCTAATCACATTGCTGCTGCTGCTGCTTAAATAATGACTCAAATCATATATGCTTATTTCCATTTCAGATACAACAAATTATAGATAAGCATATTCAGATAAGGAAGATTGAAGAAGTGGGAGATGCCATGAAACCTTTGGATTTCAAAAGAGAGATTTAGCAGTTTTCCGTCAAGGTAGATTCCTTATTATTTGTAATCAGATTCATAGCCGATCGATGTGATAATGCATATATTTTGCTAAGCTTGGGCACGTGACTGATCATTTAGGGCGAAATGAAGTGTGGACTTTCCTAAACAAAAATATACACAAGTTGGTCCTGCATTCCATGCTTCCCTCCAAAAACGGATTGCTAATTTAGCTAGCTTTCATTGTCATTGGTTTATTTGATATCCCTGTGTACATTAACGTGTTTCTTAACTTAAAAGTTTTTGAGATGTACGCAGGTTCATGAAATATTTCGACTGTTGTGTTGATAGGATGGAGGGCGCTGCTAAGACATATGTGTACTTTTTTAGATGTGTGGTTTAGTAATGCAATATCTCCTACTCCTACATTCCATTGTTTATGTTTGTTTAGGTATTCCGATTCAAACACCTTACAATTGACTAAAAACTAATGTATAATGATTAATGATGTACTTACCATTGATCACTTCCCCCCCTCCCACACATCAGTTCTACAATTTGGATATCTCATTGGTTCATTCATATCTTATAGTTGGTTACTTTGGTTTTCAATACTTACGATCTACTCTTGTATACCCTTTGGTGCTTTATGGCTCTTTCTAATCTTGTTTGCTTAAGCTCTCTGCCTGCCTGGTGATTATTTTTCACATAAAATGAAATCTTTGTCGTGCACCAACTGTGATTACATACATGGGATGATGGAATGGAATGGAAATGCATGTCCGTATTGGGCGAATCCATTATAAAAGCTTTTGTCCTCGGTATGCAGTATGACAACCAGATATTGAATAAACAATTGGTCCCAAAGCTTAGAAGCAAGGTTCTTCTTCTTTTGCTTACTATATTATTAAGGATTTTAAAATTTTAAATTGACAAATGAAAGTTTTACATCCGTCGTGTAAAAATGGCACCTCTCTAGGAAAAAACCTTTTGCTTGTTATGTCCATCTTTCACTAGGTTATGTGGGAGCCATTGTTTATTTATTTATTTTATCAATCGGAGAGGGAGGATTTGAATTTGAGACATCCTCCAACATTGGGAAGAAACATACCACTATATCAAGGGCTAGTTGGTATGTGGTAGCCAACTTTTATAGTGGATTTCACTTGTGTTCTGAATGCTCCCAAAACAGCTTATTGTCTATGTTCAAATGATGGTAAAGAACATTGTCAAACCAGTTCACATTTAAATTTAAAGCTTTCAAATTTTGACCAATTACTTTAATTTTCCAAAAATTGACAGGAGAGTGCGATCTTGGGAACTATTCTGACATATTTTTAGCTTCGCATACCTCTCTCTTGCTAGCTTAAACCCTCGTTTCTCTAAACAATAATAAATAAAAAATACAAGATTAGGATCTTCAGCTACTCTGCTTCTCTCATTTCTCTAAACAACAACAAAAAATAAATCAGAATTTTGCTTCCAAGCTTTCAAATGAAACCTCTACAACATTGTCAAATAGTCTAGATTAAAACTATTGAGATCACGGTAAAGAACTTGTCAATTAGAAGGTTTCACTTTCCTCGTAACATCTCTAAGTAGTTTGAAGCCTTTTATGATCCTAAAGCTAACTTTGTAGTTTGAAGCTCCCTAATCAAATAGATCTGCCAAACATGACATAATGATCAAAGAGTTCAAAACATAACCACCTGAAACTGCAGCATTCCCAGCTGAAACTGCAGAACTGGCTGCATCTTTTGTTTAAATCTTGAGAAAGCCAGTTCCTTTTGGTCGCCTGCCACAACATAATAGCACAATAAAGATGTAGGAATCATCTGAAGAGGACTGGGAAAAAAGATTGCACTTCCCCAAAGGTAGAAAAACTTTGTTTGACATCTTCATTATTGATATCAAAAGGAAGATTGCGTTTGAAAATTGTTCTGTGCAAATCATCTTCTTCGTCTTGTCTGTTCAAGATTTGGTGCCATGCTTTTGCTTAGCTTTTCAGGCTTAGTAACATCTGATGCTTTTGCAGTCTCGAAAGATGATTTACTGGGCTCCTCAGAAGATTAAAAAATAGACAGCTCCTTGTCCGTTCGGAGCTGTGCGAGATCATCATCATGAGAAGTTCTGTGGCATACGCGATCAAGTTGTTTAGAACTTTTCTTGCAATGTCTACTTCCTCTTCAAAATTTATTTCAGTGGGGATGTCTTTCTTCTCTATGGTATTAGAGTCATCAGGACTGCTGTCAATTCCAACATGGTGCTCGGACTTTTTACCGAAATTCCCAGCATCGCCCTCTAAATCTTTACTGCTACTATCATTCACTTCCATCCTTTTGTCCTGTAAAAATCGGAGCTTTTGTATCATTTGATGTAGATACAATCATCAATAACAGCATTACAGTAAGACAAAAGTTTGCTAAATGAGAATAGAGTTACAGTAATGCCACAAGTACCATCTTCTGAAGCAAGAAGAGCATTTTTTACAGTAATGCCACAACTACCATGTATCTGCTTTGAAAGAGCCCAGTCAACAGCTTCAATGCAGAAAAAAGAGCAATGGTTCCACCATGAATATCATCCATTTGTTCGCCTTGCTTTTCAACCATCACTGCCATGTCCAGGAAAACTTGATGGAGTTGTGTCAAGCTTCTCTGCAAGTCCTTCAAGGGCCTCATGCCTTTCCTGATCCTAACCAAAACCACGTACATTGTGGCCAATCTCCTTTTATTCAATTCGATTTGGAAAAAGACAAAAAAGAAACATAATAATAAAGTACCAAAACTGCTCAGGCCAATCAAATTTTCTTTCAAATTAAAACAAAATAAGAAAAAGACAAAAAGAGTTTCCATGTTTCATATGGAATTCTATTTCCTTACGCAAAAAGGAAACTAAAGAAACCCTAAACCGGACACTCCCTATAAATACAATTCAGATTACGCACAAACAACGTCACTTGATTTCTCTTTCTCTTCTCTTCTTAATTAGCAGCACCAAGCAAGCTTCTCTTCTTAATTAGCAGCACCAAGCAAGCAAGCAATGGCACATCATCAGAATGTGCCGTTAGGTTTCCGTTTCCACCCCACTGATAAAGAGATTGTGGGTTCCTTTCTCCACACCTTGTTGGTCGACAGAAGTCCTTTGATGCCGCCGTACAGCAACTTCATCCGTGCCTGCAATCTCTTCGGCAACAAGTTAGAGCCTTCGGAGATTTGGAACAAGTACGGAGGGCCTCAACTTGTTGATCAAGACTTATATTTCCTTTCCGGGCTTAAGAAGTTAACCCCGAAGCGCATGGATCGTAGCGTTGGCCACGGCGGTACCTGGAGTGAAACTGAATCCTTCAAACTCATTGAGGACGACAATGGAAACCCGAACCCCATTGGCCGAAAACGAAAATTCCGCTATGAGAATAAAGGGTCCGAGGAGCACACATGGTGGTTACTGGATGAATATAGTCTTTTTGTTGGTCCCAAGAATGACTACAATGATCGTAGTTACGATTTCGATTTCGTGATTTGCCGGATGAGGAAGAACGATAGGGCCTCGAGTAAGGAAATAAATCTAAAGCGTTCATCACAAGATCAAGTACAAAAGAAGAGGAGCACAAACAAAAAGATGAAAAAAGATCATGAAATGGGATCACCGGCAGAATCATCATCGCATGTAGAACAAGCCTGCTCTTCTAGTCTAACTGGTGGTGAACTTGTGGTCTCTTATGATGATGTTGATCCGATTGATCTGACATTCTTCGAGGACAATCCTGTCTTCAACATTGAACAAATACTTGGTGAAACCAAAGTAGAGGATGCTTGCAGCCCAAGTAACTCTGAGAATGTCGACAGCAGCTACTTAAACTGGACAGAATCATATATGAAGGAGCTCATGGCTTGTATCTAAGATACTAATTCTACAAGTGATAGCTGTAGATGAATATATTTGTACCACGATTTTGATCGGCTTTAGTTTCTCTTCTTAGTAGATACAAAGTTTCTTTAATTGTGTGTTTTTTTTTTTTTAAATAATAGATAAAAGTACTGAATCTATTTGTCCATTTACTCTAAATTGGTTAATTTGATAAAAAATTGGAGCTGCTCTCTTGAATTCTCCTTGCTAATTTTTTGTATGTTTAGATTTTCCTTTTAGTTTGCTCAAAAGAAAAGGGTATGCCGACAAAGAATTAGCAACGCAGCACCATCTTCCATTCTCATAAATTAATTCCTCTGCATAAATACACCAGATGAAATGAAATGCGATATACAATAAGCATCATTTTGAAGTTATGAAGGGATAAGGCTTAACCCCGAAAATCTAAACTTAAAAGCAAGAAACCAAACTGAACCAGCCAAACCAAGTCTGTCAAAATCTATCTTAAAACCCTTTTTTTTCTTTTTTTTTTTCAAGATAGATTAAACATTACTAGGAGAAATCTCTACGAGTAATAAAAGCCTAAGTTTGAGGTCAGGTGGAATTGAACAAATCAATAGTTTTTCAACCAAAATGCCAGACAGTAAATTTCATGCTTACAAATATTGCAAAAGTTAAACAATGTGCAAAATTTATAGCAACTGCTTTTACTCCTCTCTTGTGAGACTTATCATGCAATTTCACAAAGTCAACATAAAATTACTAAGCTTTCTGGAACCTTGCTTTTCACCATCAGTTTGGACGGAGCTCCGTTGCGAGTACTTGGATCTATATTGTTCAATCAGCGTGTCGAGTTTATCTGTAACATCCCGCCCTAATGGGTCCTTATTCTTCTTTGGCCTCTTTCTCCTCGTCACATTCTCTCCCCCCCTCTACCTCTTTCTGCTCCTGCAGCTTCCTCTTATTAGGTTGCACATTTGTCTTTCTCAAAGGTTTTGATTTTTGCGCATCAATGGCCACGGTTTCTCCTTCGGATGATCTTCCACCACCAGCCTTCCTGCCATTCGAGTTTTTGGACTACTTGCTTGGATGAGTATCTGGTCTATTTGAGCCTTCATTTTGATGCACGTTTTCCCGATTACGATGAGCTGCATGCTGCTGTGCTTGTATCTTAGCATTTCGTATATTCAATTTTTTAACATTCTCAAGTGCAAACTCCACAATTGGGCGATGCTCAGGACCAAAATTTCTGCAAGTTACATCACCTTAAATTAGAATACAATGGAGTTAATGCATTTGAATATATATATATATATATTTCCAACATAATAAGACTGAAATTGAGACTGCAGTTTAGAGATACTAATAATCAGCGTCATGTGTCAATATGGATATTACACTTCTGAGGAATTAAGTTACCAGGATTGTTGTTCAAAACTCTCAAGGCCACAAGTGCATTCAGATGCTCTGTAAACTCAACGAAAGCAGCTCCACGCGAGAAATTCTTTGCAACAAGCTTTCCTTTCTTCACATCCTCCAAGAACTTTATCTGCATGAACAATATCAATTACAAATAAGAGAAAGTTCCATACAAATATACCCAAAAAAAGCCTCAAATAGAGACTAACCCTGTTGGATCGCAGGTTTTTGTTTTGTAGCTCGTGAGGTTGCAGCATCAATACAAAGTTGTTTTAGCTCTTTTGCAGTCATGGACTTTACTTACAATTGAACATAACCAAAACCACGTACGGTGCTCAGTTGACCCTGTAAACATTGCAATGAGACGGATTAGAAACAGTCTGACCTAAGCATGTTAAATCCACAAACCCACATTTACAGATAGCGAAGAAAAGGAAATGAAAAGCATATGACACGTGGAACATCATATGAAACAAGTTATTAATCAAGTCTTCTCAATGTGTTTGATCTCTTCCATATTTCCTCCTAGTAAATAGTTTATAAGGCAGACACACTTTACTAATAACTTCCCATCGCTTCCTTCCCTTGTTTCATGTTCTTTTTGCTTTAGCAATGGGAGGACTGCTAGTTGAAGGCATTGTTGTGGTGATTCAAGACAGCAATGGTGATTGGATTCTGGGGTTTGCTACTACTTGGGGGGTTGGGCAAGTAATCAAAGTTCACCCCTCAGGGCCTTATTCATTGGCCATTGTGCAGCTGATGTGGCTTCGAATTCGATACAATAGCAGGCAGATAAGTGCCAGTCCCTAACCAATCTCATTATGGATGCAGAAAAACATATCCAAAAATTACCGGAACTCCTTTTATTCAATTTAGTTTCTTTACAAAAATAAAATTTTAAAAAGAAGAAACATAATAAAGTACCAAAACTGCTCAAGCCAGTATGATTTTCACATTTTCGAGTTATACTAGATTTATCAACCACAGAAGAAAAAAAGAGAACAAATAAAATTATTATAAATTTTTTAAAAAAATCTCTGAAACCGTAAAAATTTGAACTAAAATCTAATTAGAGCTCCATTTTTGCAAAATTTTGGCTTACCCTTCTTGGTAACCAGCACCCCCTATTTGGTCAGACGTCGCTGAATGTCTCCTCCAGCTGAGGTTTAAAAGAAAAACAAACAATGAAACAGAGCCTTCATTACTAAAGCAGTACAGAAAATTTCAACTTAAAGAACAAATAATAGAACAGCAATCATATAAACAGATTGTAATGCAACTATTCAACTAAGCTGAGTGATTCTATTTCAGCATAGAAACGAAAGACAGGGGCAGAACTGGGGTGTGAGAAAGAGAGAGTACCTGAGAGTTGGTGAAAGAGTAGGGCAAGTTGGAGACGGAGACAGTGGAGGCAGAGTGCTCGCTTTCGCTTCTCCTTTTGTCACCATCTCCCCATCCGTGTTTCGTTTAGCGAGAAAGTGAGCGAAAGGAAAGCTATAGAATATTTGAATATGCTCTCCCCCCCCCCATCCGGGCCTTAGCTTGGTGGGCCTGCCGTACAAAAAAGGAAGAAAACATAGGGCCCGCTCATGCTTAGAGCGTCTCCCTTCAAGATGTCAAATGCAAAATGCTAAAGTTTAAAAAGAGGTAATGATAATTGGGTCCTTGATTAAAAAAATATTAAAATAATATTTGACATCAAGCTTTTTGATATGTTATTTTTGACATACTACAGCCTTCAAATCTATGTAGGATTTGACTACTCGGTTGGAGAACCTTTAACCCTCAATTTTTGTCATTTCATGTCCATTTGGAAATTTGACATATTGGTTGGAGATGCGCTAGAAACTGACCTTATTGAAGTGTGAGGGAATGGGTGGCTCCGTATTTTCGCTCTCGACGTAGGAGTCAGAGGTGCTGTGGCAACAACGATGAGAGGAAGTAGAACACGCGGGCAGCAATGGGAGGAAGATGAACATGTTCATAGATTTTGGGTTTTTAAATTTTTAGTTTTTATCCTTTTTTGTTAAGTTAAATTTTAAAACTAAAATAAAAAATATATTTTAAAGTAAATTTTTCTCAACTCTTGGATTAAATTCAAGGGTAGGTGACTATAAGTCTCTTGGACCGCTGTAGTCCAAGAGAACAGGACTAGTTATTACTAACACATAAGAAATAAAAAAAAAGTTATGTTAATTGCACGTTAAAATTCGTAATCAAAACTCTCAAAATAAAAAATGGGATCAACTTTTTGGCTTCTCCATTATTGCTAAGTAAACATGTGACTCATTTTTCAGTTACCGCCATCCTCCAACTGCGCAAACGATCCAATTTCGTCATTTCGCCCAATTCCGTTAAACATCCGAATGACCTGAGGCCGAGAATGACTTGACCTGGCCCATCAGGCAAAGTTTGCCCAAGCCCTAAATCAGAAGGACTCGGTCCAGCCCAAACAACTAGAGCAAAGGAAAAGAAAGAAGGTGTTTAGTGCGAACCGAACGGCGTCGTAGAAAGCCGCATCAACAGGGGGGTAGGGTTTAAGCGAGAGTCTGCATCTCTGCATCATCGACCTGTGATTCATTCAACTCATTGCTTCTTTACACTGCTACTCTATCCCCCGAAACAAGAAATGGCTTCCTTCTGCAGATCAGCTCTAATGGCCGGCTCGAGATCCATAGCTCGCTCAAGAACCCTCAGCCAGAGCTCCCTAAGCTCCCTAAACCCTGCAGCCATGTCGTCTCCATTTGCTTCGGCCACCAGAACCATCCCTTGCGCTACAAGGTACAATCTTCTCAAAACTCTTCAACTCAGCCGTTTTTGACAATTTCAATCGCTTCGGAAACCCATTTTTGGTCTCCCATTTTCCCTCAAGAAAGATATGAATACAAGCAAAATAACTGAAATTGGTGTCAGTGCAATTTGTATAGGTTTGTTTCGGTATTGGGAAGCATGGAGTCAATGATGCCACTTCACAGTGCCATTGCTTCTGCTCGGCTCAAATCCAACATTGCCGTCGATTCCACCTGCTGGAGCTGCCTTTCTCAAGGTAACCCACCTACTCTCTTTTCCTCTTTTCAATTATGTTTGTCTTGTGGAACTGTTTCCTTTTTCTGTTTCATTAGGGGGCTATTTTGTTTTGTTATTTGGACCTATAACTATATTGGTAATGGGAAGTAGGGAGTGTTTTGTAGTTCTTTTTTTATTTCTTTTGATTGTTGTGTGAAGTAGATTTAGGATTTATTGGTTTTTGGAATAGTTGAGTAAATAAAGAAGAAATAATTCTCAACAAAGCTGTCTCCTTTCTCCAGTTACATAAATTTTAGCCCTCTTTTCTCTTTAGTTTTGAGAACCAAAACTTGGGTCAGTGTCAAAGTTCGATGTTAATTCAAGTTTCCAGTGCACAGATGTGGTTAATGCAGTCTGTTCATTAATGGATAGCTCTTAAGGTAGTCATTTCTTGTCTAGTGGCGCACTGATTACCTCTTGTTTCTGCATTGGGTGTCTTCTGACTCATTTTTCTGCATCGTGGTATAGGTCTTGCATCACCGTTGTGACAAGGCCCGCTGGCTATGTGAGGTAATCGGTGCATAGGTTTTCCCTTCTGTGTCACTTTCTCAACAGAAAAAGAATCTTCCCTGTCTTGAACTTTTGGACTCTGTATTGCGTAGCTTATGTCAACTTGGTTAATTCAGCTACTTAGTTGCTGCCGTTAAACTTCCGTTAGATGTTCAGTGGTACTTTTGAGGATATTCTGCTTTTTTATATTTCAAATTACATGGAATGTGCACAGAAATTGCAGTTTGATAAAAATGATCCACTTGGATGCATTAATTTTTTCTTTGCAACTTTCTGTGTCGTCAATATATTTTCTTTTAATGGTTCATAGTTGCATATATTGTGTATATTCTTTAATGTGAATGTGAAACAACTAGATTACTGTTAGGCTTGGTTTATTTGATAATTGATACTTTGAGATGGAAAAATGGCATATTTGATCATACTACTATATATGGCTATTAAGAAGAAAAATAGAAAAATGTGCTAGGCTGGTTGTTGGTCAGGGGGAAGGGAGAAATTTAAGTATATTTTAGGTCACAGCATTATTCAGCTAGACCTGTTTGTGTTCATTTCTTTCTCATTACCAAATTCTCTTACCTCTGCCAGCAGAAGGTATGAAAATATGGGATATTCTATTTGATGAGGACGTGTCCTACATCACTATGGCAAGGTTGTATACACTTGATCTTCTTGTTTCCATCTAGGTAGATAGAGGAAAATAAGAATACAAGCTGGACATCTTCAAATTAAAATCTTCTCATTGTTCTCAAAACATCTATAGGATGTAGGCTAGTGCAAGTCTGGTTCCATGAAAGAACCACTGACTTTGTTGATTTGCTGCTGATCTGAAATATGATGCAGTTTGTTGTCATCATTCCCCTTTGAATTGATGTATTAATCTTAGGCTCTTCCGTGCCACATCCTTCATCAATATATTTTATCCTACTCACAGTAAACAAATTTTTTTTTTTTCTCTTTATCGGTAAAATTTCTTCATCCGCTGATCTCTTCCTATTTTCTTCATTGGACTTTCTAGAAGCTGCAGTTCCTCGGTGAAAAAGACTCCAGGCTCGGGTCATTTCAAGTTTTTGAACCAAATTGGCTTGCATATTGGTTACTCCATCCTCTGCCTTTTTTCGTTTTCCTTTGCTTTCTGGCAATTGCATTGTGTGAGATACACTTGATGTTCCAAAATAATAGTTTTCACTTTGTCTTAAATATTACATGTACGTTTCTAAGGTATGCGTCTGAGGACAATTTTTGTGTTTTCTTGTCCTGAATACACATGCGTTCGCTTATAGAGATTGTGTCAATAAGTGACCTCAGACTGATTGAGTGAAGCTAAACTTGGTTTTGCCTATCCTTCAATGTAGGACTTAGGGTTTGTTAAATCAAGAATTTAAAAACAAATAGAAAAGACTTGTGTGCAATCAAATGGCCAAAGCATTTACAAACTTGTGTTGTGTGGAGAATATAGCTGGGTTGGAGTTCCTGCAAATGTTCATGAGATTCCCTCGGTCGGCTCTTCGTGGGTTTCAAAATGACCAATGGCTGATAGAGAAATTTGAGATAGTTCCCTAGGGAGCACCCTGATGGGTGGTGCTAAGTTGAAGCCATAGTTGGTGACTCTTGTATTCTATAATATAGATAGGAAAAGTTGAGATAGGTTGGGTGATTAGGCCTGACATGGCTTGAAGGGTGGGGGCACTATTCAATTGCCATCCTCCTAGTTCAACCGGGCATATCTCATTTTATGTTAGAAAGGAAACTATACCTGTCAAGGTGATGGATAAATTGTTCGACTGTCCATTTGGAATGCAGAAAATTTGCTTAGTTACCATAATCTTGCAGGTATTATTGCATAGTCTGATCACCTGTGAAGTTTATATGTTTTAATACTCTGCAATAAGACCTATTAATGGGTTAAAGCACCTCCACTAAACTACTCAAACATGAGAACCTCAAATGTTTGATACTTTAATTGTGTGATTTTTTCCGTATGCTTCTTTAGTAAATGATGATTTCTGTTTAATAAGAATTTAGCCTTGGCTAATTATAAATTATTCTTGGGTAGGGCTTCTCGATTCAAGCTGAACATGAACCGAATTTAACCAAGCAACCTGGCCTCGGTTCGATCGAGTTGAACTGTACTGCGCTCCTCCTTATGTGCCAATGGCATATAAATTGCTATTTCTTAAAGGATTTCTGTGATCAATTTTGGTTTTTACTTCAACTGTTAAGACATTTGTGATGGGTGATGGCACATGATGTAACGATTTCCGTGAAAACCTCTCGCATCATTGTAATTCCATTGTTTCGGTTGATTAAGATAACATCCATCTAGTGTGACTAGCAAGTTTCTATCAAGTTCATAAGATTCATGAGAATTTGACCCAAATGTTCTCCTCTTCAGATGAAGATGTTAATGCCATATCTTTAAAATACATAGATAAATGGTTACTTGTTGAAATTTGGAGATGCGATGTTCAATTCCTGAGATTGATTTTCAATTAAGGGTATGTTTGAGATTGTTTCTGAAATGACAAAAAAGAACGCTTACTAAGTAGTGCCAAACGAGTCCTAAGTGATCACATACACATTCTAGTAGTGCTAATAGTGACGAGTGCCAAGTGAAAGTTATGAATGAAAGCATATAAGAGCACATGCTACAAAGACACATGTCATGTGAGGACTTATCAACCGAACAAACCTATGGTGATGGGTGAGTCTATAAATGGTCCTCGCTATCATCATATCTGAGGAGGACATGTAGTTTTAATTTTGGGAATTAAAAACATGTAGTTTGATTTTAAAAAAAATAATAAGAACAATTCGTATATTTAACAAACAGAATTTGACCTTTTCGTCACATGATGAACACATGGAGAGACAAATTTGGCATTTTTGAGCGTGTTAGAGATTTAGATCCAAAGAGAACTTCCGCGGTCAGAATGGGAATTCCAATTTGGTGATTTCATCCTTATACACGTTTATTATGTAACAAGAACATTTGAAGGTGCAAATTGAAGAAAGACCTACTCAACTCTAAAGGGTCGATTTCACCGTCCACTGTGTATTACGTAATAGAACGTTGATTTTCTGCCTAATCTTTGACGATTAAACTCTTTTTGTTCGTTTATTACCAAAAAGAGTTTAATCATCAGAGATTAGGCAGAAAATCCACCAAAAGGCTTGGTCAGCAGCAGTGAATATTGTCTGTATTATCTATACATATAAAGCAAAAGGCAGAGAAATGTTGTATTTTTCCTATATTTACAGCTCCACTCTGTTTTTAAATGTCAACGTCCTTGTTGGTCCCCGCCATTAACGTTAATACTAGCCAAGCTCAATCGTTTGGTAAAACTTGCCTTCATACTAATACACGGCTACAACTCATCCTTAAAGCTTGCAACTTGCAAGCAAAAGATGTCGAAATCTAAGTAGTTTTATTAAGATCCTCCTCCATTAGATTCTCACGGCCGAAAATGCTAGGACGTCCCTTTCATTTCATAACCCTGGCCCACCTGCATGCTCTCTCTTTCTCTCTCTCCTTCTAGGATAAGATTTCATCTGATCATCTGAGGAATATCATAATCAGATACAGAGTGGCCCCCACTTCTTATAAATTTAAAGTCCGAAATTAAGAGAAACCCGGTTGTTCTTTCTGAATTTGAGGACTTGGGTTGGTCATGTTTCTTGCTAAAGCAATTGCAAATCAATCACAACCCAGTTCTGTTTCTCATAGCCAGAACTTGGGTAGCTCTCCATTTTCTGATTCGATAGCTTGTAATTTGCTTTTTCTGGCCACAAATTTCCTGTGGTGAATCAAAAGCTTTATTTATTTTTCTATTGGACCATTGGAGCCTGTGAGATGTTTGTGATGTGGTGAGTTTTACGTTACTAAGTTAGTGTTGGTGATTAAACGCGCACACACAGTTTGTCTGCTTGTTAAATGTCGTGGGAAATATGTCGTTTATCGCCGGTCATTTTGTTGGGGTCTGTGAGGTCTATTAATTTCTTCTTCAGTCAGTTACGAATTATGATGATAACCAGTTTTGCAGTTTGCAGAGTCAGCAGTTGGGTTGAATGCTTGTATTGAATTCTATACTAATTCAACAATTTGGAGTAGAAGAATACCCTTTAGCTTTGTTGCTCTGCTGCTACCATATCGTAAGTTTCTAGTTCAATCCTTTGGCTTTGTCTCTCTAATCTTCCATCTCTATTTTTTGTATATTGTTTTTTGGTTTGGTGTGATTTTAAAACTAACCCTGATGTTGGGCTTCAGCCATTAATCTTTGGGTTTCAAATTTCGAGACTTCTGGTTTTTGGATTTTCTCCAAAAAAAAATTTCCATCTTATCCCTTATTTTATCTCTTTGTTTTGCTTTGCTTTGGTGTTTCTTGGGCCTTCAGCTCGAGAAAAACTTAGTTGCAACGAGATAGCACTGCTATTCCAGACCAATAATGCTATGCCACGTGGAAATATTATCATGCATGTCATAGCGTTGTTGGCCAGGGTTGCTATCCACGATTCATGGAAGAATCCTGCTTCTCAGGTTCAGCCATTAATAGCTTTTTGTTTCTCACTTGAGTTCTTACAGAAAAACTTGCATCTATGGTTTTCTGCTCAGGTTCAGCAAATTAATAGCTTTCTATTTCTCACTTGAGTTCTTACAGAAAAACTTGCATATGTGATTTGTTCTCTGTTTCTCACTTGAGTTTATCTTCCTGTCTTACTATTTTTATTTTCTTCTGATAATGGTTTTGTCTCTATGAATATGAACTGGGTTCTCCTTTGTCTTAGTTGGTTTTGTTCTTATCTTCTCTTACAAATAGAAAGTTCTTTCACTTTAAATAAATTCCTCTTTTCACTGATATGGATGTAGGTTCTTTAAGCTCATAGGATTTCCATTTGTATGGACTCTCTTTATTCATCAACTGAATTGAGGTGGAAGGATTTAATTGAGGAAAAGTGAAGCATTGAGGATCATGGGTAATTTTTATGAGGCATCAAATGGCCATGGGCCAACTGATAATGGCCAAATGGTTGTGAGGCAATCCAACTACCAACCCTGCATCCAGGTATCACTACCCTGGCTTGATGTAAGAGTCTTTTATGTTAGAATTAGCAAATGCGAGATCGATGATTCTGCTCCAGAATTCCTCTCAGTAAATCATATTCCGTTGGATCCTGATACCCTTCTTGAAGCCAATGGTGTTAGAACTAGCATCAATTCAGATGGGGCAACAACCCTTCTTCGAAGGGACCGGTTAGATAAGAAGTCTGAAGAAGCCACATATGTGAGCACTGACAGCATAAGAATGACTGGAAGTGTAAAGTTTGAGGTTTTCGATAAAGATGTTGTTGTGCTATCTGGGGTTTTAGAACTGTGTGATAGTAATGGTTTCAATGCAGAAACAGATCACCATGGCCAGAGATGGAGCATGAATTGTGAATCTGATATAAATGCAAGCAGTGGCTTCTTTAAAGGAAAGCAATTTACCGATGCAGAATCTGCTTCACCTTTGATTGAGGTATACATCGCGGGGTCCTTCTTGGGCACTCCAATAATTTTAACAAAGACTTTGCAGCTTGGCTTTTGGAAGAAGCATGTGAGGAAAGGGTTGTTGGATTCCATACCAGAGTATGAGGCAACTGAAAACCAGAGGAACAATCCTTCTAGATTTGATTTTCAGGTACCTACTGTCCATTTGGTATTTTTTGTAGGCTTTATGTATTTTGAATTTCAGTTTGAGATGCCTTGCTCTTTGTTATATTAATGTTTCATTAGCCATGGCCGATCTGATTTCATGGTTTGTTACTGCTCAATGCTCTGCTGTTACATCAGCATAAAAAAATAAACAAAACAGACAAGTATAGCATATTGGATGCCCAGACTAGCAAATACAATCTTTTGGCCATACAGGTTCGTGTTGAGAAACTACAGATCAATAGAATAATACTCAGGTCTATCATCTTTTATGTCCTTGAGTTGCATACGGTATAGATATACGATATTCCTGTGATTTTTCATTCCGGCAAATTCTCCAATCCCGAATTCGCTCATGAAATAATAATTTAAGAAAATAGAACAGATACTGTGCTAAGGAGATGGAATGGTTCAAAGTATAGGAAATTATCACTTCTTTACTTGTCTTTTGAGGCCATATTGCATACTATGCATACCTATAGAACTAAATTCATTTCAGTTTTCGAAACCCTTCTGTGCAGCTGAGTCTTAGTTCACTTGCATTATGCTTCTGTGCAGCTGAACAAGCATTCTGCATTTCATTTTAATTTGTCTCCATTCGAACATGTCAATTTAATTTAACTTCACAGGAGTCGGAATACTCATATTACAAACCGGAAAATGGAGAAAACAACATGTACTGGGGGACAGCATATGCAGAAGGTGAAGATGGAGAGCTTTCATGGTTCAATGCTGGTGTGAGAGTGGGTGTTGGGATTGGCCTGAGCATATGTGTCGGGGTTGGCATTGGAGTCGGGTTGCTCATACGAACCTACCAAGGCACCACCCGGAACTTTAGAAGGCAGCTACTGTAATTTAAATTTCCAAATATTTTCATTTTAGCTACAATCCAATGCCAGATAAGTATTAAGTAGTTTCGCACATATCCCTCTTTGTATCAAGGTTCATGTCTTATCTGAAATAATAGGGTGATTTGTTTCAAATGTAAACATAACATAAAGGCACCAGGTTCCCAAAACCTGTTTCTGAGTTGATAAGAGTGGATTTTTGATTGAATGGAATGTGACCAAAATTTATACGTCATTCTTGTTAAATGGTTCACCAACTTGTTGGGTTTTGTTTAGAGTGCTTTTCTTGAAAAGAGAAAAAAAAGGGCGCAAGCCTCTTATGAATTGCCAGTAACAAAGATAGCCTGGAACAACTGACCAAAGAGAAGAAAAAAAAAATCATCTGGAGTTTGAAAACCTCAAACCCAAATGACATGATAGAGGAGCAAGAGCAAGCAAGCCCCAAATTTGATGGCAGATCAGTTCAGAATCACCAAGATTGGTTTCAAGTTAGTGAGCCAACAAATATAACTTGAAAACAGTTATTTATATAAATGTGTACAAGAGTGGCATCAGCGCCTCGACCGAACAAAACGAATATTTACCTAAGAGGGGTAATCTATTTTCCAGGATCCAGTTATCAATTCAAATTTTAACCACTGGTCAAAATTCAAGTAAACTGAAAAACCACAGGTGGCCAGGAAGGTAAGCTACGAGTAATAGCATCAAAAGTAGTTAAACTTCTTTTTTGTTGCAGAGGTTCTATGTTTATATACTAAGTGCAAAGTTTTGGCTCTCTAGGGCAACAGGGTAATATGCACAATGCCAGAAGAGAGCCTAAATATCCACAAGGCAAGACTATAAGGCAGCACTAATTCATCTATAAACAAAAGACAAACCCCAAGTGGTTCTAACAAAGATTCTGTGCCTGAGGGGGATGAGTCGCACGGCGGAACCAGGTGTTGAATGCCGTGACCAAGTGAGGGCAGTCCTCAACATTTCGGGTGGAGAAGCTGAGGCACTGCTGCAGCAACTCCTGTGCATCTGGCATAGGCAGTGTAGAGATGATTCTGAGGAATGTCTCTTCCAGATCCAAGTACAGTGGTTTGTTACTCGGTGTCAGAGGTGAAGCATTATTGTCTTTGCAAACAATCAGAACTGGAAGCCAATCTTTGACAAGCTTCTTTCGCACCTGAAAAATAATTATAGGTACCAGTATTAGGTTAATTGATCTGTCTGGGACACCAGTAACTTCAAAAGTAGAAATCGAAATAAGTTGGTTAATCCCCTGAACACCTAACAAACAAGGATGCGTAGTGAAATTGTGCTAATAACCAAGAAGCATCATCAAGTAAACTGGAAAACATATTTCTGAAGCGCGGTTTAGAAAGAGAAACATAACTACTACATATTTTAAGGAAATAACCACACCTAGCCAAAGAGGACAGCCAAAGAGGAAAAAGAGCATAGATCTCGCCTATACACACTTCAGTAAAAAGCAACATACAAAGTATTTTCTGCTTCAACGAAAGAGAATAAATATGAGAAAACAGACAAGTGTTCTATTATCTTTTGTTTTTGTTTGGATGGACAGGAAACAAATGGAGAAAAAAATATCCACTTTTAAAATCAAACAAGATCCAAGTCTCATTTTTTCTCCGAATCCAATTCCAGAGTTGTAAAAAGTGACCGAAACATAAGATTGCGAGACTCTTCTCTTCTCTCCATTTCTATCCACATTTAACCATCCAAATGGGAAAACTGTTCAAATTTCCTCCACCTCTCTACTCTTCTTTCCATTTTCCTCAATCCAAAATTACTATTGAAGAACCATTTACAGAAAATACTTCAATGCCATTGCCATAGCTCAGTTGTGTTCAGCATAAATCCAAACAGCCCAATAAGATTCCACACAAAAGGCCATTTTGCTAATATTTGAAGAAACCCACTTCAGAGCACATTAGCTCCCCCTTCCTGTTCTGTTCTAAATTTCTAATGTTATTCAACTGTACCAGCAATTTGAAAAATGGGTTGAAAAACATAACCAAAGAAGCTCCTATGTTGAGCAATCCCCATCAAAATTGAGCCACAAACATCAAAACTAATTGAGCAATGCACCATGTGAACCAATCAATAGCCAAAAGTAGAACAAACAAAAACCCAAGCAAGCAATTCAAGCACATGATATTCAACCACTCTAACAAGAAAACAATACAATACCTGAGCAGCAACCAAAATGGTACCAGCAGCGACCGCATTGACCAGCCTCGAAGTGCAGCGAAGCAAGACGCTAGGGAGGCTCGGGACGATATTCCTCCACGCGTCGTCCCGAAACGCCCTCTGCAAATCGGCGGTGAAAGCCGGCTGCTCGCTCCACTCCTTCACGGCGGACTCAGCGACTCGGAGCTCGATCATCCTCTCGACGAGCCACAGAAGGTGCTTGCCGTTGGTCATGGCCGTGTGAAGGTTGATCCTCTGGATGGCCTCGGTCTCGTCATGGTTGCCACGGACTCCAGGGCTCGTGTACTCCTCCATGGCCTCCTTGACGACCTTGAAGGTGGTCTGAAACGCCCGATCCATAACCCGCTCGACCAGCTCTCTGGACCCGAACTCGCGCAGCAGCTTCGCGACGAAGGCCTTGACGAACGCCATGCTCTGGTTGTGAGTCACGGCGAGGATGAGGCCGTACAGCATCTCCTCGCTCGAATCGGGAGCTCCCGAAACCCTAGCCATGAGGTCTTTGGCTTCGTCTTCGCTCAAATGAGGGATTAGGGCGAGAACTCGGGTTTCTTCGTCTTGAGTCCATGAAACCGCCTCGAGGAAGCGAAGGCAGAATTGGACGCAGTCCTCGAAGATGAGCTCGGAGGCGACAGGGAGAAGGTCGAGCGCCGCCGATACGGTGGTTATGGCGGAAGCGAGGTCGGAGGTGTAGAGGAGTTCGAGGAGGGCAATGCGGGCATCCATGGCGCCAGGGATCGGTGGGACCCTCAGGCTGATGTTGCGGACGGCGTCGTTTTGGGGGTGACGCTGCCATCGGTCGGATAAGAGGGCGGCGAAGTACTTGCAGCGGCGGAGGGCGTGGGCGTGGAGGTGGAGAACGACGTCGTCTTGGGACTGGGCGGTGGGGGAGTTAGAAAACGACGTCGCTGGGAGGTCGAGAGGGGAGGGATCGACGAAGAGGCGGAGGAGAACGTCGGCGGAGGAAGGGTCGTTGAAGGAGTGGGGAGCGGTTGGGCTGGGTTTGGGAAATGGGTTCGGGTTCGGGTGGGTGGGTCGTTTGGAGTCGGAGTCAATGATGACGGCGGCGCAAGGGCGGCTGGAGCTGCTGGCGGTAGGTGAGTTGGCGGGGTGTACGGCGCGCTGCCGCTTTTTGGAGGCACCACCGGTTACCATATTGGGATTTGGGTGATTTGACAATTGGGAACGAGCGTCTAGATTTTTCATTTTTGGGGCGAAGGAAATCAAAGGAACAGTTTCGGCTTTTCAGTTTTCTAAGCACTGCAGGCTGGACACGTGGAATTATCCCATGCGTGGTGCTTAAGGTTTGTTTTTCTTAATTGGGTAAGTTTTTCTCTCTTTTTTTCTTTTGCTAAGATTAGACAAATTTAGAATATCGTATATATTCACATGAATCCACAGATAATCTATTAGCGCATTTCTTTATTTTGTCTTGTTGAAAAAAAAAGGATATGCTAAGTTTTTTTTTTTTTTTTTTTTTTTTTTTTTTTTTGGGTCTGAATCACGAGGTGGTTCTGGATGGGCCCCAATTATAGGTGGCACCTTTAAGTCTTAATCACAATCCAGACTAATCCCCGCTCACACCGGGTCGGCCCATAAGGGATAAAGTACTAGCCAAAATGGTGACTCCATACGAGAGCAGAGATCGAACCCCTGATCTCTCTTAAGGAATGAGAGTGCCGAACCACTCACACCAACCACCTTGATTTATGCTAAGTTTCTTTGAAGATAATGTTAACTATTTTTTTAAGTTTCTAATGATATAATTAGCTGTAAGAAAGTTGTAACTCAAGTGATGTATTCGAGATCTTAGGTTCGATTCCCCCTCTCTCTAGTATCGCTTGTTTAAAAAGAAATATATGTATATAATTGACTTAAATTTGAGTTATTAGAGCAAAATTTATCCAAACAGAGAGCCTATCGGAGAACTTTCGGGACATTCAAATGAAACATCATCATAGGCCATAGGTGTGGCTATCATTTTCAGAAGTTGCGTACTAGTTTAACAAAGTGGATAAGGTTGAAGATCCCAGAGAAGATATCATCTTTAAAATTTATATTTAAAGTAAATTAATCATTAATAAAAGGATTAGATGGGACCACGGGCTGGATATGCACTAGCAAACACTACGAAGTAAACCAACTCCCCTGCAAAAAGGCCCATTGGATCAGATTTTTTTATTTTTCTTTTCTTTTCTTAGCTTGTGAACAAAACTCAAGGATCAAAACATGACCAGTGAAAGCACTTGCCTTCACTCAATTAATGTTAGTTAGCTATGAAGTTGCGTATTTAATGGGGACCTTAAATGCCTAAAAAAGGGGGCAACTTGCTCTACTCCTCTACTTATGTTATTCTTCTTGTTCTTTAGACTCACTTCCTCATTCTTTTTTTTGTGCCGTGCAGTAGAGGAACCAGATAGAACGTGTAAAGTTTGTGATACTAATTTGTACATGGATATATTTATATGATTGTGTTCTTTTACATTTAAGAGTCGATTGATTTTAATTATTAGTGACTTGATATTATGATTTTCTTGCCCCCAAAATGATAATTCTTAAATCCATCACTGTTGACAATGTATGAAAGAAAGAAAAAAAAAACATGTAATTTAGTTGTTAGTGATAGTTGTTTCAAATTAATCGAACCATGTCTCAGGTTTAATTTCCGTAGATGTTAAAGACAAAATATGTAAATGAGTTTGATAGCTAATTTGATAAAGATAGAAATACCAACAAAATCTAATTCAATACAATAAAGTTCATCCTCGTGAAAAGTTTTTCAATTCAGCATGTGTATACATTGTCATTTTCATAGTAATCATCCTCATATCAGTCCGTAATTAATCACGCATGTAATCAACTTTTAAACAAGTCATATCGTCGAAGTACACTAATCAAATACTCTTTAAAATTGATTGCGTTCCATGTTTGTAATTTGTTTTGAAGGATTTCTGTACGAAGTTGATGTTAGGGATGATATCTTTCTATATCAAAAGGACAGAAAAACATTA